TATCGGTCAGTTTCACGCTATCAGGTCGAAGGCAGCACCGTGCAAATCCTCTCTCTTGTACCACAACATTCAGATTTTCTGGTGGTGGAGTAAAATGGCACTGACCACCTGAAGAAAATGTCCAACAATCTGAGGCCAAACTTGACTCTGATCTTTTATTCACCACCTTTTTTTTTTAAACATGTAAGAAATAAAGGCACAAGAGTTTTGAAAAACTGTTTGCAATTGGCCTTTTGTGAGGCTGAGGTTTTGTTTTGGTGGGTTGCAGAGAGGCACCGAGGAGAATCGCGGGCCGCCCCTCTGTCCTGCACCTTCGCCTCCTGATTCTCCACAGTTGTCCCTGAAAAGAGCCCTGGCTGGGAAAGTTCTGAACAATGTGAGACTGTGGGCTGGTGCTGCCTCTGCACATCCTCTGACTGCTCACATGTTCAGCAGTGAATGCATATGTTTAGTGCTGTGGTGAAAAGTTTATAATTATCTGAAAAGAAACCTAAATGTTATGTCAACTGTTTATAATGGTGCATTGTTTTATACCCAACTGCACAAATGACAATTTAACAATAAATTAGCCTGTAGTATTTGAATTCACTTTCCAAGATTCAGCTTCACATTAAAGGTGACAATAGGAAAAATACAGTTTTCACATTTGATGGCCTCCTGTGTCCAAAAAGTGCGATATAAATCTGATCAATTATTGTTTTATTTTTCAATCATATTTAGCCTAGTGATATACATACTGAGCATCTTATCATGTGCTCATATTTTCATTCATTGTAAGTGGCTGAGACTGAGACACACTTTTCACTGATGACTGTTAAAACAGCGGTGGTACTCGGCAGTAAATTCCCCTACAGTGTAGTCTTATCTCCTCTTTTAGGGGCCCAACACAAAGCAGTGCTAAAACGAGTCCAGAGCGTCATGGGGTTGAAAAGAGGCCACTGTAAAGCTGGAGGCCATTGATCTTTTCTTTTCGGGAGTTTTGTGACCGCGGACGTGTGCCCGTCAATGTTCACTAATATAGACCAATATCTTGATGTTTGTCAAATAAATCATTTTATTATGGATCTTAATTATTTCAGTAATTTCCAAAACATATAGTGGCATTTCACTGTGATATTTATGTTTTAATATTTTTGCCAAATATGACCCATTTTTTTCTTTCTTTTCGATTTTCCATTTTATTTCATCTTTACGCACATAACATAATCATGTGCTATGAAATCATTATAAGATTAAATAACTTATTCATGCTATCGTTTGTTCACTTTTACACGTACTATATGCCAATCTCTGAACTGATGTTTTATTTTTATCATTTTAAAACGGCCTCTGTCTGTACTTCCGTAACTTACATTTGGTGAAAACTGTGACTGACTTGATGTACAGCTCCCGTCATCACTAACGAGTCCGTGCTGTTACTAAATCCGTAAAATGTAGCGACAAATCGTTCATCACAATTTGATGCCGTCTCATTCAGGAGCGATTAATCGGTCTGAAATGTGCCCGCGGCGCTGAGATGTAAGCGCGCTCTTCCTTTGTGCGCCTTTTCACGCTTGACACCGTGGAGCCATGATTTGAGCCCAGAGTCAGAGCATCATGTCGCTTCACACAGAAAATGTTGCGCTGATTATTCGGTATAATTCCAATTAGACACTTTAATTTAAATGACTGCATGGTTTTATGATGAAACGACCTCAACAGGATGGCCCTGACAGCGCTTCTTTCACTTTTACTTTTTCTTCAAAGTGAACTGAATAAGAAAAGCGCACTGAGATCCATGTCTCCCAGTGGGACTGTGCCATTAAATGACAAGTTAAGGGTATGTTTTTAAAAAGAGCCGAGTTCCACGTCACTTTCACCAGAAAACCTCTGGTCATTCATTAACCTGCTGCACCTTTGTGATGCATGTGCGCGCGCACAAAGCCACAGTAATAATTAGATGATTGCTGCACTTGTTAACACCAATTAGTGTAACAATTATTCAATTACGGCAATAAACGACTTCACCTGAAGCAGCAAACGGGGCATTTGCAAACCAATGGTTAGGGCTATTTCAGGAGAACCACGACGAGTCTACAACTTTTACTGCACCGTCATGAACTAGGGTGCTAAAACAAGCTGTTAACGAATAACGCACTGTCTGAAACTAAGTGATTTATATTCAGATATTCACTTATTCTGCGCCAAAATGACACGCACATGTTGTTTCTATGAATAATTGTAAAATGTTCTTTCATGCACGTTTTTAAGAGTTATGTTATTGGCAGATGTGCATCCCCCCCCCCCCCCCCCCCCAAATGTATTGACACACATTTCTATACATTTCTTGACACATTGTAGGCTTAGCCTATTGCAATCTAATAAGACATGTAGATTTACAATATAACAAAACTGTTCCTTAGTTCCATTCAGTGCTGTGAATGTACATTCACATTCATGCCTTCAGTGAAACTAGAATGTGTTTACTTACTTTTGTGTCAGTAAATATCTTGAGTGTTCCGAGTGAGAGAGGGGATGCTAAAATATGCGTCGGGGTCTGGATGGTGGCTTCTTGAGCGAAGCAAATCGATGTAACGCTTCTATTCACCCGCCTCTGGGGCAGAACGTGGTGTGACCAAAACCTTATTGTGCGCAACAAGGCCGCTGTAAAAGAGGCAGGTACAGGAGCAGGTGCACTGGAAAATAATATTACAAATATTGAACATTGGACTCCTGTGAAATGCCACGCGACGGTCCCGTTGACCAAACATCAAATAGAAATCGTGTCATGAATTTCTATAGACTGTGCAGGGGTTGTTAAAAGACTTCTCACTTTGGTTTGCGCACACAATGGGCTCTGTTTGGTTATGTCCACCAGGGTTAGCGCCTCAAAGGAGTAGAGGTGCACATTAACATCGCTTAGGCTTTTCTCAAGGGCCAAATGAACTGGCTGGAAAGTAACTTTATAACTCGCTGAAGGATGAAGCCTTTGTCCACCGAAGAACTGAAAGACAGAAGCGGCCAACAAAAGGGAGCGCGCTTTGTTAAAGACTAAAGCGCGCGGCCATTGATGCGCCTTGAATTGCAAAACATCTGCCATTTACTCTGAAGTGGATTTAAATGAGAATTAGTCGCAGGTCTTTAAGGCACTGTGCGTAAACATTTCGCATCAAGTGAGGCGCTAATTCTAAACATTAAAGAGTGGATTAATATCGCAGTAACGCCAATACACAACTACTTACATTTAGTTTTAGGCTACACTTCTACTAACGTAACCTTCCCCTTTTGTCCATTTGACTATATTTCTCTTCTGTTCTACTGGACATCTGACGTCGCCCTGAGTTAAAACCGATCCATCTCGCTGTGATAGATTTATGAGCAAGTATAATGCAGCTGGATTTAATGGGTTTACGCACAACGTCACACTGAATATTGAAATCGTATACGCAGAGAATCCTAAAGATTAACTTTATTTATTGTCTTGGCTAAAAAGGGGGCGTCTGAGGTGACAGCACGCAGATGAACATACATTAAAAGCTACTTAAACACGACTGGATACAGTCAGTTTGAGTCTCTTTTGCGTTAATCATCAAACTCTGAGTTAGTTTATCCCCCCTTCAAATGCATGTTATTCATACATGAGTTGAGTAAACCTTGCCATCGTGGATTAACGTTTATCCCAGGCCTGAACTGGCCATTTTAAGGGCACTTCAAGAGGTCCATATGGCCACCAAACACACCTAAAGACCGTTTTGTGTTTGCCACACCAGCGCCCCAAAGAAGGACCAGTCGCCTTCGCCGTTTCTCAGGCTTTAACCATTTATCTGACCGACGTGGAAAATTGAAAGCCGCAGCTGAAAAGCCACGGGGCGTTCCTCCAATTTCCTCGCTTCATATGTGACGTGTCAGCAAATGTTTCAAAACTTTTCAGCGCCTATGTCTAATTTATATTTTTTACACAAGTTAAATGGAGTAATTAAGTTCTTAAATTCATACATTTGATTTGATCGTAGGTTTATTTATAAGCTATCCGATATCATAGTATTGGTGACAGTATTTTTAACACTTTTTACTTCGTGTGTGGCTGTCGAATGTTACTGTAAAATTAGTATGAAATCGTCAATTTGTTGGTGTCAGCGCTGCGCTCTCAGAAGCACCATATGCCACGTTAAGTGGCTCTATTTTTCAATTCGTTCCTAGTTTCACGGTCCATCCCCTTGTTCTACCCGCCAGGAAACTCAAAAGCCACAACAAAATGGCAATTGAAGCTGCAGAATGGCCACATACCCCCTGCGGTATATTTTCTCCTAGGTCCTTTCCGTTTGACTTCGCGGGGCACCAGAGTCAGAGCGTGAAACTTTGACTTTCAAATGGAGGAAACTAGTGCGCGCGCTGCGTGGCCTGGCGGCGGAGGGGCACCTGTCACAGTCAAGTGATGGCACTTTACATCTCACTGGAATCAAAGCAACGGACAGAGCATCCATCCACGCACATGTGGAGTCAGGTCACTGGAGTTTATGCGTAAAGCACGCGCCCCCCACACAAAAGCCATGACAACGCGTAATTGCAAAAGAATTTGAGGAGACTCCGCACATTATGCAACAATTTGACATCGGCTACATGAATAATGACTAAAAAGAAGTTAGAGTTTCAAACACAATTTACTTTTAACTTTAATGCAGAATACAATACAAACCCCATTGTCAGACAGAAAATCCACTGAAATGCTTTTTGATTTCTGAGTAATGTATAAATAACTCGTCTTCTTTCTTCATTCTCTTCATTCAGTGTCCATAATTGGTGAAGGGAAACTATTGTAGTCGTGGCTGCCCTGTGGCGGACAGGCGTGACCTGGCTCTATCAGCATATAGTTGGGTAACAAGTGGAGCAGACTAAAATTAGCAATAGACATTAGTAAGGTAACAAAAACACAAATTTATCCTGTTTCTTTGATATGTTAAAGGTAGTTTTGAGAGCAGAAGTCCCTCTCTATCCTCTTCATTGCCTTAAAATTGCTGCTGTTATTGGCTTATCGTTTTTGTGTAACTCTGTATTAAACCCTGGAAGTACTGCTGTGTGTTTTTCTCAGGTTGGAAAAGTATAATGCAACATTTTGGAAGAAAATACCATAAAAGGAAAGAATATAGACTGGAGAGCACAGCTAGAGCATTCAGTGACTGCAGGTGTTTGCCTCGGTAGAGAATGAAGACAGTGGCGAAGATGATCCAGGTCAGTGCCAGCAGAAGAAGACAAAATGTGATAGCTTTGGCTTCATTGTAGTTCTTTGGCAGTTCTTTTGCCATGTATGAGAAGACAAAACAGAGGAAGCACAGGATAACAAATAGAGTCATTGAACCACCAAAAGCTGTTAAACTAGTCTCACAACCAAGAACAATCTGGTTGGGGTACCACACAGTTTCATTATAAAGTTTTGGAGATGCAGTTGTGTACGTAATCAGAAGTAACAGCAGTTGTAGTATAAAAGAAAGTGCGATCACCAACCACTGTCCATGATATTTCATCCACCACCTCTGTATTGATGGATATGTAGCAGCTATTTTAAAGATGCTGACTATCTGAAAGGAGCGCACGACAAAGCAAGCCAAGCACACTGTGTAGAACAAAACAAATGGTAAAAGTCTCATAATACAATAAGATTCTTTTGGTTTGCCAAAGTAGAAAAAGACACTGATGCTGCAGAGACTGAGGCAGCCTAGAATCAGGAAACACATGGGACCACCAGCAGATCTCACCACTGGAGTGTTGTAGTTCAGGCCAAAGAGCACAGCGGTCAGGAGAGACAGGACCACAAAAAACACTGTCCCAAACATGATCAATATGGCAACAGCATCTTCAAATGAGACAAACTCAACCAATCTGGGGAGACAGGAGATGCTCGCTGATGTGGACCATTCTGTTGCGGGACAGGAGACACAAGTGTAGGGGTCCACTGAAGACAAATGATTTTAAATGAATAATTAATCAGGAAAATGCATTGTGATCATAAGATTTGAATTATGACTTGTTTTTTTCAAGTCAAAAATGTAATGATCTTTCACAACTATTCCATTGTTATTTTCATATATATTTCACATGGCTTAATCATGCATCTAACTTCATCTAAGACTTTTTTTTATGTATTTATTCTTTCCAATTGCCATTTTGTAATAAAAATGTATGTAACTAACTGTATTTCTTAGTGCTGCTGATATGTTTCACCTGTGCTGTTGATGTAGGTTCCATTAGGACAAGACACACAGTTAAAGCAACATGTATGGAGCCCAAACTGTTGCCTTGCGTGGCCTGCAGGGCACTCCGAGGAGCACAGTGAAGATGGCACCTGCACAGAAATATCATTGTCAGGGTCACTGGTCCAATTGTTCATTCTTATGATTTGGACTTTTCCCTATGGTCTTTGCAAATTTACACAATCAGTGTTGAAATGTAACAAAGTAAAAGTAAAGTAGCCTACTGTACTTCAGTAAACAAACAAACAAACAAACAAACAAACTAACAAACAAACAAACTAACTAACTAACTAACTAACAAAAAAATGAAGTATCTGTACTGTATTTAAGTACATTTTCATGTGGATACATTGTTTTACTTCACTACATTTGAGACCAGATATCAGTACTTTCTACTCCACTGCATTTTTGAACAGGACATAAAAATAAAAGTATTTTTATTCATGTGGAAAAAAAAAAATCAACTGTTTTATGTTGAACAAAATTCATCAAAAATCTGTATCAAAATTTTAAGCTTTATTCGATCTCAAACTCTGCAAAAAATGCTTTTACTTTTTACCCTTTAAGTGCATTTTCAAATGGTTACATTTATATTTTTACTTAAGTAAAAGTACAGATACTGTTGTATATATAAAAAAGTAAATAAAAGTAATACATGAATAAATTTACTTAAGTAACAAAATTATGTTCTTTTCACACTATTGGACATACTATTTTTGATACAACCTACAAAAAATAATTCTGGGCATCAGTTTGAAGCAAGCCCTTTTTTTTTTTCCTTTTGACTTCCTGGAGTAATAATGTCTGGAGATTAACTGAAATCTTTCTTCTAATAAGTTTGCAATGAAACGGTATCAAGGAGCAGCATGTCCTCCATGATTTCCTTGATCCAAACATTTTCTGAAAGTCCCTCCTCACTCTCTCCATTTCACCTGAGATCACTTACCTGTTTATCCGTGTACCACTGAATCTTTGAGCTGTTGATGTAAAAATCAACAGATGGGTAGATTTTGTAATAGCCGACTTCTTCTGCCTTTGTGTTGTCCCAGAAAACAATAGAGTAGTAACCAAACTTTGGGTCTCCATTCTCATTAAACTGAATGTTGTGGTCCATCAAAGTAAAGTTGGACTTCTGCATCTCTTTCAGAACCTGAAGAAAGAGCAACAGTATTGTGTAAAGAAGAATTTATTTTAAGTTTAAACATTTCTGAACTGATATTCCCTTTGAAGCTTGCATGTTCTCCTCATGGGCACAATTTCCCCCAACTATCTAAATAAATGTGAGGTTTATCTACTTAAAGTACTCTTGATTGGTCTTAGGCTAGTTTGTTTTTTAATCAGTTTTCTTAAAGACACTGTGTAACTTTTCTGGGGAGTCTGCCACCGGTTGTTGCTGTGCATGGAATGTTCCATAGTATGACATTAAACTGATCTATATTAATTGAATTTCCGGTTTTTCTATTGCTTAAACATACATTCCTATTATGGGATCTTCTGTAAATTGATTTGAAAGTGTCACCTTCTTATCTCCCTGGAGAGAGATACATTTAAGTTTAAGTATTAATACTCAATGTAGATATGGAACTAGCATAAATTTAGTCAGCTCCAATCAGGCCCAGACCCAGACCCAGTCTGCCCAATTTAAACCCCATTGCAGATGCACGCCTCTCCTCCTCCCTTGCACCCCTCGGCTTCTCATGCTCTCATCGTCCCCTTCATTCTCCCCATCCTTAACTCTACCACCTCCAAGGTCCAGGCCTCATGGGGAAAACATCTCCTAAACATCATCTAATCAATCCACGCCCTTGATCACAATATCTTCTGCTGTGGTAAAGCTAACTCATTCAGTAAAACCACTAATACTTTCTCTTTGTGTCTGAGTCTCCAAGTTGAAATATTCTTGCTGGCTATATACTCACCATATATGGGTAAATGGTCATACTGGTGTTACACTGGCCCCTCCCACACTGCAACAGGTTGTGTAAGGCGTGGGCGATCACATGCACGGATGCATATACAGGGAAGGAGTAGGATGGATCTGCTTCAAAGATGTCCTCTGGTCTCAGCTCATTACAGTCACACACCTGGTTACAAACTCGCTTTTCACCCACTTCACACTGTGCATGGCCATGTTTTAAAGAGGAAATAAAATTGTAAAATCCTGGTATTTTTGTCTCTGGCTCAGCTATCCCAATCACAGTTCCTATAGAGTCTATGTTTGGTGTTTCCATAAGCCCCCTATTGAACGCCCATGCGTCTGTAGCTAACCACACCTTGTTATTAACTTTGAGATTTAAGGCTGCCCTGATGAGCATTGTAGCAATTCGTTCTTCTGTAAAAACTATAATCACGTTAATCTTCTGGGTCTCTATCTGCTGGAATATTTCAGAATGGTTGGTCAGACTGTTTACTTCTTTGTTGTAAGCCAGGCAAATCTCAGTGTCTTTAATTGCTTTCCCAAATAAATCAACGCCATCTGTGCCGTAGTCTCCATTATCGTTGAGGAAAGCCACCCAGTGCCATCTGAAGTGAAGTAGGACGGTGACGATTACTTCCACCATCCACTGATTTGGAAGCACTGTGCGCAGGAGTGTGGGATATTTAGCTTTTTCCGAGAATGCTGAACTTGAGGAGCCATAATTGACCTGATAGGAAGTAAATCATGTTATGGTTATGTTAGTAAGGTTATGCAATGTATTTGCAGGAAATGTACATTAAGTATGACAATAGCACAAGAGACCTGCTGGAGATTTTGAACTATACTCTGGCTCTCAATCTTTTTTAAAGCCCCACTATTTAATTTCTTTGGTAGAAGTATTTTTCTTTACCGTTGTTTTTATTGATAAAAAAATATATTGAAAAACATGCTTTTGTATTGTCAGCGGTAGTTGTCTCTCAGCATATCTGACCTATCTGCTGGCATCACCTACTTGTCTCCATAGAGATAGATAAGTTTAATGCCCTACTATGAATCATTCCAGGCAAAGCTATGACATTTACATGCAGACAGGCATGCAGACAGGAAGGTGGCTCACTGTCCTCCAGAAAAGTTGCATAGTGGACTTTTAATTAAACAGTTACCATTTTCATCCTTGTGTCTTTCTGTGTAGATTATGTATTGTACATCTGATTAAAATCTCACCATAGGAATAAAGTCCATGGTGAGGAGCGGTGCAATAGTGCGGGTCTTGGTGCTGGTGAAGGTTCCCACCACAGATAGGACTTTAGGCACATTTAGCCCCTGAGGCCCTGGCCAGGGTTGCACTGACTCATGCACTGACATAAAGTCAAAGATCCCGGGGAAAACACTGGTGTCTGAGCAGTGGTCGAAGATCTCATATCCCAGAGTGACCCCAGGGAGGATCTGTGTGGAGTTATTGATCTGCTCCATACAAAATCTCATGACCTGAAACCTCCGGTAGTTGGACAAACTGAATGGCTGTCTGCAAATGACACAGGAATCTAAAGTGAGGATTTGGACATATATATATTGAAGAAACATATAGCTATTATGTAACCTGTGTATTACAGATGTCACAATATTCAATTTCACTGTTATGATCAAAGTGAGAACACAAATCACATTTATTCACAATTAATAACAACCAAACAGCAGTTAATTTTTATATGGGTCATTCTGACATTTGCAGCAACATACAACAATAAGAGCTGAATGTATGATCCACTGTCTATCTATAGAAATTTGATTCTTGGTTTAGACTTTTGTTTCTTAAATCTTGCTCTTGCTCATGTTGCTCAAAAAATATCTAAATATCTAAATATCATAAATACTTAATACGAAATTCACATCTTATCTAACACAGCATTCTGGATCCTAAATGACAAGTGAAGTATATTTTGTGAGTATTTAAATGTTATGGTGAAAAAAACCATCAGACTCACTTTGAGCAGTCGATGGCATCAGGCAAAAGATGAGAAACCTCCTCAGTCACATCATGAACATCAAAAAGTCCTCCAATTAAAAAATCTCCAGCCAGACTAAACTCAGAGTCAGGTACAGTGCATTGAGAGACTGCAGATACAATGTGATCCATTAGAAACAGAGCAGCTATGAGAGAGGTCATTTCTGCACATAGTTTTGTGCGAATGGCAGTGACCCAAGCTAACTCTAGTCTGTTTATCTACATCTGGTGGTGTATTTTAACAATTTACAAATCAGTATGCAAAAGTATAAGGTCTGAGCTCACTTTGACAAATTCATCTGTTGAGGCAGCCATGCAAATCCAGCAGCTTCTTTAAACAGCTTAGAAACCAAACAAAGCAAAACTCAAAACTGACAGACACTAAAGGTTTGTGTATTCACACACACAAGCGCACACATACATAAGCACATACACGCACACACACACACACACACACACACACACACACACACACACACACACACACACACACACACACACACACACACACACACACACACACACACACACACACACACACACACACACACACAGTCACAAAATTAAATGTTGATCCTGATTTTTGTTATCTTTCTGTTTTGGACTGCACTTTTCCTGTTTTAGGAAAGTTACAATCACAACTGAACCTGGTCTGCCAGTGTCTAAACCTGCAGAGGGAGGACACATATGTATCACATCACAATATGAACAGGTCTCATGTGAAAGCTCAGAACCTCCAGACTTCAATGACTGAGCTGCAGACAAGCGCTGATCAATGCTTGGATGCAGATGCTGGGTTGAGACATCATGTCTAATCTTTTTGAGACTAAGAATAAATCAGCATTTCAAGTAAAATCTATATTTCATTTGAACATGTTTACCTCATATCTGGGGCATACGTAGTTTAGGAAATTTCTTACATTTAGTTCCTTTAAACAAAAATATATTTTTAAAAAATATCATCTTAAAATCTATACTGGATCCATATAAAATAATAACATGAAAGGTGATATCATGTATTTAATAAGGATCTGTGATGGTGGTGCTAATGTTAACAATTATCCTTTGTTCCTTTCAGATGATAAACTCAAAACACGATAGAAGTTATTTGTTTTATTGGCTTTCCCTGCAGCCCTGATAATACACCTGGTTGGTGTGGAAATTTAGGAATGCATGTTTTGCATTCTGGCTGGTCCCCTGAGTTGATGTGGTAGAATATTTGCTTTAATATCAAACCACTTTAATTTGTTTGTGGTGAATTTTTACTTCCACCTTCAAATAGGAACTTTTGCATCGCAGTCATTTGAAAGAATAATTTGCCACCTGTGGGTCACGATAAATGTGCACCACGCACCAGAATTTGAATCCAGGTGAACCAGAAAAAGAAAGGTAACAGGGAGGAGTCACCCACAGTGACTCAGATATAAGTCCATGACACTGCTCTCATTCACTAAAATATTGATACACTGATTCACTGTATGGCTATACTTTTGATCAACTTGATAGATTTTTGCACACAGTTAAAGGATATGTGCAGTATTACAATAATTAATGAACTCCACTCCACTCTGTGTACCGTTTTTATTCTTAATTCAAACAACATTCGATTTAGTTTATATAAAAAGTTGTTTTCTTATCTTCACTGTAACTAAGTGTATTTCCCTATTTCAAGTACAAAAAAACTTGTTCCATTAGTCGATAATTTTACTTATCATGTACTCATCGTCAAATGTACTCGAAACAATATAACCATAATCATATTTCAAGTCATTTTAACTGGGCAAAATATTTTTTGTAGTGTTGGATTACATAATGACCCATAATAACCAATAACGCATACTAAGACACAATATATCAAAGTTTAATTCATCACACATGCTGTTTTTACTACACACACTTTAATTGATAAATTGAAACACATTCTTATAAATGCAGTATATACAAATTATATTCATTTTTTACTACAGAAAATTTTAACATACAGCCAAGAAAACTTTTATTATTTGATGCTTACAACATTTATGGGAGAAATAACTAATAATATACATACCCACAATCTATTCCTTATTCTGCAAATGCTCTATTGGAAAGACAACGATATTGTTAGTCGTATGACTGGCAAATTGCATAATACAGTATTTCAAGATATGCAGTAGTGTTTTATTTACTACACTACACTAATCAAAATGGACTCTTGTGAGATTTAAGAAATGTTAGAATGTTGTTACCTCCTCAAAAACAGACCTGGCGTTGTGTTTTGTTGAGTAAATCAATATTATTAGTCTATCTACATCTTCAAAGCTTAAAATTCTCAGTTCGACTCTGTGATGTCATGAGGCGGTAGTTTTCAAGTTAGCAGCTACATTTACCTTTTGTTCAGTTGAGACTGGCAATTCCTAGTCAGGCTGGCGCCTACTAGTGCCTACACTCAATTTAATTTCTCTCCAACAACTAGGTCAGGAATCAAAATACACTAGACTGTTTGCAAAAAGCCCGGAAGTGTGAGTTCAGGCACCAGCCAAACATTGAAGAGCCATACATTCTGTGTTGGCAACGATTCCTGAGAGCAAGAATTTAAAGCCGAAACAAAGAGAATGTTTGGTGAATTTTATCAAGAGGAAAGACGTTATTGCCCTTCTTCTTATGGGATTTGGGAAAAGCTTAATACACCTGTTAGCGCATTACATACATCATGACCAAATAGCAGCGATTGGTTAAATAAAAAATTTACCCGCCTACTGTTGAGCAAACGAATCCTAATGCTGTGAGGTCAGACGGTTTCTGTGAAGTGAAACTGGCTGATGAATCAGGCTAGGCAATTGCAGGACTGAAATCCAAATCCAGATCCAAATGATTCTAGTGAAGATATATGCCACTTAAAAACACAGTGGAGCACTTCCTGTTTTACCACATGACCTCACAAGGTGGAACAGAGTATTTTTGATGAGGAAATTTTTTTTTATAGATAACATAGATCAGAAAACAGTATAAAATTGTAGTAGTAATTTCATTAGTAAATTAGTAAATAACAGAGTGAAAAAAGTTATATCAAAGTATACAGTAATGGCATTGTACTTACTTCACACTACTGACTAATAGTTTTGGTGTAACTCTGAATGAGTCCCTGAAAGTATTGTGCTGTGTTTCTTTGGGGCTGAAAAATAATGATGTAACATTTGGGAAGGAAATACCACAAGAGGAAAGAGTAGAGACTGGAGAGGACTGCCATGGCGTTGAAAGTTTGAATGTACGTGCCCTTGTAAAGAATGAACTGTGTGGCAAATATAACCCATGTCAAAACAATCAGAAGTAAACAGAAAGTTATAGATTTGGCCTCGTTGTAATTCTTTGGCAGATCTTTTCCCATGTAAGAAAAGATAAAACAAAGACAGCATAATATTAGCAGTAAAATGGTAGCAGGTAAATTGCCCTGAAAATCTCCATCACAGCTCAGAATGATCTTAGACCGATCCCATTCGTAGTCACTAGAGGGAGCAGGTGGTGAGAGGGAGTACCCCAAAATGAGTAGTGCTGTCTGGGTTACAAAAGACAGTGTTATGATCACCCACTGTCCATGATACTTCATCCACAAACTCTGTAATGAAGGGTATTTTGCAGCAATTTTGAAGATGCAGACGATTTGAAAGGAGCGCACCACAAAACAAGCCAGGCACACCGAGAAGAACATGAAAAAAGGGAAAAATCTCAAAACACAAGAAGCAGTAGTAGGTTTACCGAAGTAGAAAAATACACTGATGCTGCAGAGACTGAGGCAGCCTAGAATCAGGAAACACATGGGACCACCAGCAGATCTCACCACTGGAGTGTTGTAGTTTAGACCAAAGAGCACAGCAGTCAGGAGAGAGAGGACCTCCAAGGCCACAGTTCCCACTACAATGACCATGGTAATAGCATCTTCAAACGTGACAAACTCCACAGTGCGTAGGATACAGGAGGTACTGCCGTCAGTAGACCACTCATCTGCATGACAGGCCCGACAGCTGTACGCGTCCTCTACAGATAAAGCAGTTAGAACATTAAAAGTTTTCACAATATTTAATTATTAGTGTTTTAATTATTGAGAAGGACCATCATTATTCACACCCTAAACAACTGTGAAATCCTTCATTCTTTTTAATTTTCAGTGCCTTATATGACACACAACAGAGATGGAGTTAAAATAAATTTATATGGCAAGTTATGTTCCTCTAGTTTAGGGGATTATGTCTGTAAATGATCTACATCAGGAGTGTCCAAACTTTTTTCATCAAGGGCCACATCTCTAAACAAAGACGAAGCAGAGGGCTGATCAGGGGCCGTAGACTGGTGCTCAATACAGTGAATAATTGAAATGTGTGCATGTTTAACATGTTAGAACGATCCATCAGTCTTTATTCATGCTAAAATCCTTAAAACAACACACTAAATAATAAATATTGGCTTTATCAAGGTAGATTTTCTAAAAATTTGCAGTAAAAAAATATTTTTTATTGATGCAAGGTAATTTGGGCCAATTCACCTGGAAGTCTGAGGGCCATGAAAAATCTGTCTGAGGGCTGCATTTGGCCCCCGGGTCATAGTTTGGACATGCCCGATCTGATCTGATCTAATGGCATACCTGTGACATTTATGTAGGTCCCATTGGGGCAGAGGTAACAGCTGAAGCAGCACTTGTGGATCCCCTCTTGTTTTTTAGCATATCCCACAGGACAGTCTGGGGAACAGCGTGAAATGGGCGTCTGTGTGTTACAAATACAATTACATTACATTGCAAACACAATGACACTAGTGATGCTTCTCCTAGAATGTTTCACTGTATGGAAATCAACCATCTATCTTACATGCATTTAATTACAGCTGACTCACTTTTTCACAAACATGGATTCTTCTGTGAGCATGTTTAACTTGACCTGGTGGTGCCACCTGCTTTTCTTCATTAAGATAAATACATTAATGGCTTACTGTCAAACATTCCTGTGCCAAAGCAGGTGATGGACTTGTCAGGGCACAGGTTTAGGCTGTCTAAGTGTAGGTACAACATATTTAAAATATATTTTAAATCTGTATATTTATTAATATATTTGATCCTATCTTCTATAAGATCTGTCAGTGGCACCTTGTAAGGAGAAATGTTTTTGCTTCTTTTTTCTGACTGTACATTCTGTATTTAAATTGTTACAACTGGCCATGTAGTTTTAACTGTGTTTTTTTATAATGTCATGTATGTGACTTTAATGCAAACCACAGTATGAATGTGCAAATGTAAATTATGTAGCAGCATGTACCCATGACAGATGTCCCCTGTGTGGGACAATAAACTTCTGTGTACTTTGCCTTACGTGTAGTTTGCCTCTACAGGAGTTTGCATTATATTATGTGGAACTTTAGTGAATGTTGACTTCTTATAAAAGCACTAATGGTCTCTGTGTGCACCCAACAGGCAAAGACATGCAAGTAAATATATGTCCCACAAACTCACTTCTGTGCCCGTGTGCCACTGTAGATTGGCTCTGTTGATGTAGAAATTGACTGATGGGTGAAATCTGTAAAATCCAATTTCTTCAGCATCTCCACTGCAGTTCCACAATACAATGGAATAGAACCCAAACTTTGGATCAGAGTTTTTATCAAACTGAATGAGCTCATGTAAAAGTGAGAAATTGGACTTCTTCAGCTCTGCTAGAACCTTGGACAGATAATTCAAGAATAATAAGACAAAACAAGATACTGTGGGACAACATGAAGTTTGGTGTGATGAGAAAGGATAGGGGGCAGACAATGGACTAAGGATGAGCTGAGTGTAGTTACTGACCTTATAATGAGGCACTGTTCTATTCTTCTGGCATACGCCGCCTCCACACTGCAGCACGTTGTGTAAGGCATGAGCGATGGCATAGACTGCACTGTACACATTGTAAGAATAGGACGGATCTGCTAAAATAATGTCTTCTGCAGTTATGCCTTCACAGTCACGACAGTCCTGGTTGCACATCTCCCCGGCCTCCCTCTGACATGGGGTCTTGGTGGAATAGATGAACTCTTTGAAGCCTGGTATATGCACTGATGACTGAGCAACTCCTAACACTGTCCCAATATTCTTAATCCTCTGCATTTTGGGAAGTTTCTTATTCAAAGACCAGGCATCCACTGCCAGCCACACTTTCTTGGTTATGTTAAGACTTGTCACTGCTCCAATTAAATATTCAGCTGTTCCTTCAGGCACAAAAACAACAATAACATTCACTTTACGTTCCTCAAGTAGCTTTATAATTTTCGTTGCATTGGTTTGGAAATCAACCATTTCGTTGTAAGCCACACAGATACCAGTGTCCACTATTCTCTTCCTAAAGAGATCCAGGCCGTCTTTGCCATACGCGTCGCTGGAGTTTAAGAAAGCCACCCAGTGCCATTTGAAATAAAGCAAAATATCCACTATCACCTCCACCAGGTGCCTATTAGAATGGACGGTCCGCATGAATGAAGGAAATTTAGTTTTTTCTGAAAAGGCAGAACTGCCAGCCCCATAGCTGATCTGTGGATACAGGATAGAAGAGTTAGTTCACAGATTTAAACAGAATGGATGTGTTTGTCTATTATATGTATCAGGCTGTGCAAATGTCCATCAAGATCAAGATTCAGTCACTTCTAATGTCAGTATCAGCTTGGGTCTTTTTAATGGAGAGTTCCACAGCCAATCCTTGTCAGAAAAAAAAAAGAAAAATGTGATTTGGATTTCACAGGTAGTCAATGTCATCTGGACAATATCTTTATGAATGAAGACAAGACAGACAAGAATGAATCCTAATAATGACTTTTGGATGTCAGTTGAAACGTGTTGATTTGTAAAAACATTGTTCAGATGATTATTTTCATAACCTTCTCTACAATGGACCAGTCCTGGATCTGTGAGGGTTTACATCCACATGGTTTGGAGCAAAATCAGACTGGAGGAAGGCATTTGAACATTTGCTTAAATGGCAATGCTTGATCAAATGGTTTTATTTGTTTTTAATAAGACAAACAAAAGCCACCATTGAAGCTCCAAAATGCACTGAAATGGAAATCTTCTGGTTACTGGTTAAACAACAGACCTACCAAAGGCACAAAGTTCATCATGAACAGAGGACCGATGGTGGTTGTGTCAGAGCTGGAGAAAGGGCCCACCACTGCAATCACGTCTGATAGGCCTTTGCTCAGATGGAGCCAGGGCTGCACCTGTCTGTCCTGAGAGATTAATTTGAAAACACTCGGAAAGTTGTCCTTATTGGAGCAGTGGTCAAATATTTCATATCCCAGAGTGACATTGGGCAAGAGGGTGCTGGAGTTGTTGATTTCTTCAATGGCAAATCTCATGGTCTGAAACCTCCGATAACTTGGTAGAACAAAGTCGTGGCTGTTGAAAATATAACACGTGATAAACGAAACATAATAAACTGTAATATTTCAGTAGCTGACTGTAGGGTAACATCTCAAAAACACAAAGAAAGAAAGATGCAACGTAGATACTGAATAAATTGCAATAAATTATGAACAAATTATGCGTTAATTGTGAGTGAAGTCTTTGTTTATGATTTATTGGATAATTAAGGTTGAGTTACCAAAAAAAAATGTTAGAGGCATAGACTGTATATATATTCTTTATAGAGTCTGTGGTCACAGGATTGGGATGGTTAGACTTGTTTGAACAACTACGCAGTTTTACCCAAGGTAGAAAGTATGTAGACAGGCAATAGACTGTATAGTAATTATGATTAAGGAATAACTAATTCACACCAACGTTTAAACTAGACAAGAAAACATAATTACTAACTTAAAGTTGTAATAAAATACTGATACAAATTCTGTGTAATGTAGATTGATCTGTCAGAGCACCTTACTTACCTGGAGCACAGGGCAGAATCAGGCATCTGGTGAGTCACGACTTTACTGACGTAGTGAATATCAAACAGTCCACCCAAAACGAAATCTCCACTCTGCCGAAACTCAGAACTAGCCTGTGTGCACTGAGAGGAAACTAACTGTACACATATCTGAAGTAAAAACAAAAATATAAAAGGATGTTTCATTGTTGTAGTTGAGCTTAGCAAACGTATTGACTCAAAGGGAAGCTGCTCGTTACAATACAAGCATGGCAGTCTGCAATAGATAAGATGGGTGATTTCCATATACTTAAGACTGGGCTGGATTTATTATAAACCTCCACATTTACAAATCAAAACTCTTCATGGAAAACTCATCGTAATAGTGGTTGCAGTAGACATGATGAGGATAGAAACACAGAGTAACAGTCGTAGTGTTACTTTTAATTGCAGTAGTGTCTAAGGAAGGAGTAATAGTCATTTTTATTTTAGTACGTCATTTTAGCCATGGGTGGGAGCGTGGTGTATGTATTGTGTTTTGTTTTTGTGTGATGCTAACTGTAGGCTCTGCTCTGTCTGAGGCTTTATTAGACTTTAATCTGTGCTTTATTTTAACACAATTTGATCACAAATAGCTGATTTAGCTGGAACTCCAACAGGTGAGATTATTCATGCTGTTAAACAAGTCTCTTGCACATAAAATTACAGTCACAAGCTACCTTTTGGTTGAAAATCAAACACCTACACAGGACCATGAAAGCTCATTTTGTGTGTTTCTTGAGTTTTTGGACAATCACAACAGTGTTTGCTATGGTGTCATCATGATAACTTGTAAACATCCCACCAATAAAGATAATGTGGAACACCCCCAGCTGATGTGCCAGCAGCTCTAACACATGGGCTATAAAATTCTATGGCAATATGTTGCGCCCTCTAGAGGTTGTTAGAAGTAATAAGTATGAAGTTAAGACTCATGAAAAATACTGGCCACAACACCTATATGTAAATGACTATAAAATGTCTCCTCCTCTACGTGAATATAATGCAAATGAAAACAAATGGACTAATTCAACCGTATTATCTACACTTCCTATTTCAAATAAGTTCTGCACGACCGACACCAAAACCACACGAACACGAAAAGGCTCATGTAACTTGTATGCCTTAAACAGTAGGCTAATCCAGCAACAATTACAATTGGTACTACAAACATGTTTTTGTTTAGGAAAGTGTCAGTTAAAGAGCCAATATTACACATTTTTCTATCCTTCTCTCAAACAGAAAACACTCTGTTCCACCTTATGATGGCATGTGGTAATACCTGAAATGCTCTACTGTGTTTTTAAACTCCGCACATCTTCAATAGAACCCTTTAGATGATTTCAGACCTCTACTGAACTTAAGGTAAATGGTAGCTGTTAACATGAAAACTACTGCTACATGATACCACAAGGTGGAACAGAGCTTTTTGAGCTTTGGAGACAGACTAATAATAAGTTACTCAAACATGTGTGAATGAAACAAAATCCCTCCAGGTATGGTTTTGAGGAGCATTAGCATAATATAGGACCATGTGACTTTTTGCCATGCTGCTTAAATACCCACGTATTTAAGGTACACTTCCCATAATTCCCTTACTCCTGTATAAGCAACATAGTTTTTATCATGTGAAGAACTTGATAAAGAATAATAAGAAAGAAACTATATATTTTTTTATTTACCACACATTTAAAATATCAGGCATTACATGGCAGTATCTTTGAGAGGCAAAGATGCAGTATCAGATTCTAACTTAAGAAGCTCATTTCCACCTGCAGTCCTTAAAAAGAAAGGGAGGCTCATAAAAAGATCAAAGTGTTAAAAATAGTTTAATAATGATTAACAGCTTATTAAATGCAACTTGGTGTAGTTAATTATTTTATTTAGCACTCAATAGAATTACAAATACAAGTACTATACACTATTAAAATTATGAACTCCATAATAAAAATAAAAGACAATTATTATATATATAAAACATTTTTAATCATATGAAATAATCCTTCTGTGCTCTATATTGTGATAAATATTGTGTCATTACTTTCATCTTAAATCTATAATCTTACCAAAGTTTACCACTGCTGGTGCATAATGCAATATACAATATGTTACACAATATGCTGTGGCTGCCAGCCGTAATTCATTTTATAGATTTAGAATAATTTTTTTGTCAGAGGCATGAATTAGTTTCACTATTATCAGTTATTGTCTATTTACTTAAACAATACTTCACACTTCCAATTTTGTTATTGTGACAGGTCTAGGTAGAAAGTACAAAGGCAGAAAAATGTGCACTCTTAAATTAAACCTACATATCTTAAATTGTAGTAATAGGCCCTGCCCCTTTCCTCAATCTTTTCACAGGGCTCAGACAGCATATGATAATAAAGTACTGCGACTCATTACTCTTGTGTTTTGATATAAGTTTTAATGAGCCCCTGAAAGTACTGCTGTGTATTTTTCTCCGGTTGAAAACGTATGATGTAACATTTTGGACAGAAATACCACAAGAGGAACGAGTACAGAGACGACAGTATTGCTAATGCGCTTACTGTTTGAATGTACTTCCCTCGGTAGAGAATAAAGATGGTGGAGTACAGGATCCAAGTCAGAATCAACAGACACAGGCAAAATGTGATGGTCTTGGCTTCATTGTAGTTCTTGGGGAGGTCTTTTCCCATGTATGATACGATGAAGCTAAGAAAGCAGAGCAGCACGAGCAGTGTAACACAGGGACTGTATACTTTAAGATCAATGCCACAGCTAAGAATGATTTTGTCTTTGTACCAGTTTGTATCACTTTGAGGTTGAGGAGGTGCCGAAGTGTACACAATGAGAAGCAAAGTTCCCTGTAACATAAATATGGCCATAACCACCAACCACTGTCCATGATATTTGATCCACAGTCTGTGCAGCATGGGATACTGAGCGGCGATTTTAAAGATGTAGACGATTTGAAAGGAGCGCACAACAAAACAGGCCAAGCAAGCAGTGGAGAACTGCAGAAATGGTAAATATCTCAAAATACAAGAAGCAGTAGTAGGTTTACCAAAGTAGAAGAATACACTGATGCTGCAGAGACTGAGGCAGCCTAAAATCAGGAAACACATGGGACCACCAGCAGATTTCACCACTGGAGTGTTGTAGTTCAGGCCAAAGAGCACAGCAGTCAGGAGAGAGAGGACCACAAAAAGTACTGTTCCACCTATGATCATTATGGTAACGGCATCTTCAAACGGGATGAACTCCACAGAGCGAAGTTTACATGAGGTACTGCGTTCAGGCGACCACTCAGTCTTACCACAAGGCACACATTTGTATGGATTCACTGTAAACAACAACAAAACATATTCAATTACACAACCACACACACACTCACAATTATACACCACAGAAAAGCACAGATATCTTGTACCTGAAACATTGATGTATTCGTCTTTTTGACAAGGGACACATTTAAAACAACATTTGTGACTCCCCTCCAGACTCCTCCTGTATCCGGGCAGACACTCAGGTGAGCACTGAGATAAGGGAACCTGCTAAAAAAACACACAGCTCTATATTATTAATATAAGTAGAGGCTCAAATGAGACAACATATAAAACAAGAAATAAATGGACTAATATAGTTCATCCTTAAAGGTGCACTCTGCATCTGGTGGAGGGTTCACCACTCGCTTGTTCATGTGAAAATGTTATTGCTTTATTTAGAATGTTCCTCTCTATGGCATTAAAGGAACTGCATATGTTTTGATTTTAAATTTTAAAATGATAAAATCAAATATAGCTCTTACTGATAACAATTCTATGACTGAATGATGTGATATGATTAAGTCGTACTCTCTCCGAACCTCCAGAATTCCCTCCCTGAGCTGCAGAGGCTGCACTAGCACTGGTTCATGGCTGGCTGTAGGAGCTGGGGTTTAGGGAGTGAGGAGGTAGACCTGTACAAACATACTTGTCCATTGGTGTGCCATTGTATTTTGGATTGATTGATGGAAAAACGGGGCTCAGACTGAAAGGTGTAGAGTCCCACTGTCTCTGCTGCTCCACTGCTGTTCCAGGTGATGAGGTCAAAGTCTCCAAATGTTGGGTCACCATTTTGGTCAAACTCAATAGTGTGGTTCAGAGAGAGTGAACTTTGACCTCTTCAGCTCAGACAGGACCTGACAGGAAAACACATGAACCTCAAAGATACAACCAGTGCCAACTTACTGTTTGAGTAAATACTACATAAAATAATACATCAATACAACAGTACTTAGTAATGTAGTTATAAAAGTAATTGTATCTTTTTGACATACCCAATCCCTACAGCTGGTTCTGGTAAAGGGCCCATGTTACGCTGTTTTCTGATCAATGTTATAATGTTGTTTCCTCATCAAAAACATACCCAGAGTTGTGCTTTGTTGAGTTCTTTTCTCAAACTGAAAACACTGTTCCACCTTGTGATGTTATGTGATAATACGGGAAGTGCTCCACTGTGTTTTTTAATCTCATACACCTTCACTAGAATCAATGTTAACAGCTGATGTTTGACGTGAACAGCTACTGCTGTTACTCACACGTGTGAAACAAAACTCAACTCCAGGTATGGTTTTTGAGGAGGTGACAACATTATAACCTGAGTTAAACCGCAAAAGAGTACATTTTGTGAAATATAAAACCTTTAAACTCATTGTACTCACCATATGTGGATAGACGGTGATGTTTTTGTTGCACTTGTCATCTCCACATTGTAGTATGTTGTGTAGGGCGTGTGCTATGGCGTACACTGCCACATACACAGGGAAATTGAACGAGTTCTCTGCACTCAAAATATCATCTGGAGTCAAGTCACTACAGTTGCAAAATTGGTTACAAAACTCCCCAGGTTGATTTTCAATTTGCAAATATCTAATGAATTCATCAAACCCAGGAATGGATATCACAGGCTCTGCAATTCCAATGACAGTCCCGATATTTTTAATTCCAGGTAATTTGGGAAGGTTTTTATTCAATGCCCAAGCATCCACTGCTATCCATGTCTTGTTGGTAACATTAATTTGTATAGCAGATGGTATAAGCTGGTCAATTGTTACTTCAGTAGCGAAAACTATGATGACTTGTATTTTTTGATTCTCTATCTGCTCAAACACAGTTCTGTAATTTGTGTTTTCATTCAGTTTCTTGTTGTAGGCCAGGCAGATGCTGGTGCCCTGAATCATCTTTAAGAACACAGTGCGGCTGTCGT